GAGATGGGAGCTAAGCCTTTCCCTGCAGCCAATGAAGGACATTCTCCATGAGTTGTTAGGCAGAAAAGAACCTCATAGGTCATGTCCTCACTTTTCCTCAGCTAAAGTTCCCGACTGTCTCCTTCAAATTCAACTGTGCATCCAGTTCCATGAGTAACCATATTATTTTTAAACAGCATCCTTCAGCCACTGCCTCTCCTGGGTTTTCAGAGAGGCAATCCTTCGTGAAGCCAGCACAGAATTTTATTCTGTGATTGTGTGAAAACATCTGCAGTGATTCCATGGAATTCAAATAAAAGGTTATGCTATAGCTCTGAGAGGGGCTGACATATAGAAAAGCTCACCTCTGGGGGATGGAGGAGAGAAGCCAGGTCATACAGAGAGATGGAGAACCACAGGATGAGTATTGGAGAGAGTGGAGACAGTCAAGCTGCACAGGACTTAGCAGAGGTGTGTCAGGTCTCAAACACTCAAATTATACCAAGAAACACCATGCCACCATGTGGAGTAGTTAAAAGCTCAACCGTAGGAGTAATAGAGATCTACAGCTCTTCCACTCAGTAGCTGGCCAGGTGGCTGAACTTCTTTGAGCCTTAATTTTCTTGTCTGTAAAGTGGGCATAAAAACAACCACCTTGGTGGTTTTGAGGATTAAATGAGAAATATTATGTACTCGACAGCCTGGCATAGAGTAATACACAAGAAATGGTAAGTTATTTTAACACCCAGGGAAGAGTTAATATGTTATGGCTGAGATTGGTAGGTTGCTTACTATTTATCCATAATTGTCAAACTAGTATATTATAATTGTAGAAATATGACTGCTCGCAATTTAACGAGTTAATTATTCAAATGTCTCTATTGTGGTTGTTAGTTTATCAAAAGGCTTCTCTGGACAATCCATTGTCCAATGTGTTTCTCCTTCATTCTTTTAAATGAAGTTTTGCTTGAAAAATAAACATCCTGTTAATGTGCTTAGTGTTAAGAATTACTAGCTGAAGAAACAAATGGCTTTTGTTAGTTAATAAAAAATAACACATAATGATAGTAAAATAGTTTCCAACAATATATTTACTTCAATAAAATTTATTTCGAATATTCAAAAAATATTAAATGTTCTGCCCCATCCCAATTTCCAGAGGTAATTACTGTTAATAATTACTTGTATAGTTTTCCAGAAATGTTTTGTGCTCTTTTGTTTTACATGAATTGAATCATACTGCCATCCTGTCGAGGAACTTGCATGTTTTCTAGAGAAACACATCTTGGAACTCACTCCCTAGGGTGCATACACATCTACCCTCCTCTTTTTAAGGGCTACATTGTATTCCCTTGTATGTAGGGATCATCCTTTATGCAAGCAGTCCTCCATTGCTTGGCACATTGGTTGTTTCTAGTTTTTGCTATTCTGAACAACATCACAGTAAAACTCCCTTGTACATTGAATTTTGGTTGTCGCTATAGATTAATGCATCGGGTAAATTCCTAGAAGGGTAACTGTCGAGTCAGTTTCCTCGGGTGTGATTTAATAGACAGTTCCAACTCACTTCCAAAGAGGGTGCAGCAAATGACACTTTCACCCACAGGGTATGAGGATGTCTGTGTCCTGTTTCACCAGCTCTGGGTACTCTCAAACTTTACAATCTACTAAGGAAACTGTTATTAAGAACTCACAGTAATAACAGACAGAGGTGGATGAGCAGTGTATATTAAATGATCTTATCTGCAGAGATGAGTGCTCATGGGCTAGCTCCCCTTTGAACAGAGGGCAGGGGGCTGCAGGAAGTCAGACCAGGGTCTGCACCTCAGCTCCACACTTTACTATCCCTCTGACCTTAGGTTCATCAAGCTGCCCTGTCTGTAAAATGATGAAATTAAGTAAAATAAGGCATGAGAACAGAGAAGACAAGTAGTGACTCTGTGGCATCTTACTATGCTGACAGACGGTGACTGCAATGGGGTGGCGGGGGAACTTGATAACCTGGGTGAATGTAGTAACCACAGTGTTTTTCATGTGAAGCATGAGAGTGTGTATCAATGATACCTTAATAAAAAAAACAGAAAGAAGGCATGAGAAAACTCCTAGAGCTAGTGTCTGGGACCCAGTAAACATTAAATTAATATTACAAAAACATACCAGAGTGCCAGAGTCTCTGACAAGATTGACAGTGACCCCAGCAGTGAGAAACCTGGGTTCTGTTTCCCCTTCCCTCCTTTTACCTCCTGCCAGGATACTTACTTTCTCTGAATTCTCTTTGAATGTCAGTTGATATCTCTCTTACTAATTTACTGATCTGGATAGATACGAGTCACAATGTAGGTGAATTTTACCTTCACTGGAAGATGCAGGTAGCATCACAGAGGAAGACAGTGGGCTGTCAGCTCCACATCTGCGGGGGGCAGTGGATGAGATTTGGGGTCACACCCACCCCACTGCAGACCTGCTCCTGCCCCTTAAGAGCCAGGCAACTGGGGGTGAGTTCTGATGGCCAGCTGAGTCCCCATTTCCTCAGTTCTAAGACATGGGTAACAGTAGCCACCTCATGGGGTCTTTGTGAGCATGAGGTAAGCAATAATCTATGAAAGCCCTTAGCAGCTGCCTCCCGTTCAATGTTCCCTATGTTCATCAACAGCAAAGCCTCACTGCCTGATCATGGTTTATTGCTAGGTCAGTAGGGACAGGATGCTTCTGCCGCGGAGCAAAGAGAGATGTTACCAGCCCTCATCTCCCAGTCACGCTGCCTGTTTGTCAAGTCAGGTGACTCACACAGCCTTTCTCTCACTTGGGCAACTGTGAAGGGCACCCTGGTGGGGTGCGGTAGTGGGGACCCAGGGCAGACAAAATCAAGACTGCTACAGTTTCCTGAAATGGCTGTCACCCCAGTTTAGGGGCTTCTCTTTCTTGGAGAGAAGTGAGAAACTAAGTTAAAAAACACTCCTCACTGGAACTGCTTAATACACTGAATGTTTGACTTGCAAAATGGAAATGCTTATCATCCTTGACAACATTTTGTGGGGATCTGAGGTAGGATGTGAACTTGTTTTAGTTTTTTGTGAGAGCGTTCCCCTCTGCTTTGATGGCAATTTCATTTCTAACCTAACATATCCATTGCAAGTATTAAGCTATAATCACAGAAATGGGATTTCCAGAAAACACCTTGTGAATTACTGTTTCCATTTTTTTTTAATTTTAAAAATTTCACACAGAAAGGATGCAAGAAAAGCGCAGCGAATGCCTGGATTTACTTTATTATTTGTCACACATACTTATATATTATTTTTGAGATACACTGATATAATATGGCCTCCCCCCCTCCCTCCTTCCCTTCCTTCCTTTGCCAGTTGAAGTGCTATGGGGATGGATTTAGTTATAGATACTGTGACTTCCAGGCACTCAGCTTCCTGAAGTTTGAGGTCTGTTTTTTTATTTGGCTACAAGGTTGGAAGAAGAGGAATCGTGTTTATAGTAACTGCGGGATTGAGTACCTCCTGCACCAAATATGCAACATGCATTATCTCTAATCCCAAAGTGACTGTGCTAGCGGGCATACCTAACTTCCGTATTTGGTAACTGACGGAGGGGTTAAGCCACTCTGCTGGTACAAAGAGGGCTATCTTTTTGACTACGAAGCCCTTTTCGCAAAGCGTTTGGAGGATTCTGAGGGACTTCCATGAAAGCATGGGAAATTTTAATTTTAGTTTCTGGGAGTGTTGTAATGTTAACTTCAGATAACTTCCCTCAACCAAGGAGGTGGCGGAGGTGGAGTTTAATGGAAATGGTAATCAGGACTTCAGTGATACCAACTAAAGATGAAGAACTAACCACTCAGTGCCTGAGAAGACTCTTTGGAAGGGCTTCTTGTTAGCCAGTATGGTCAAACAAATCACCCTGATGCCTCCTCATGTGTGAAATGCGGACAGCAATCAGTACCTCTGTACCTGGGGTTTTTGATGAGATTCAATTTTTCTAACTGTGATTATGAATAAAAGGGTTGATGTATCATTTTTATCTGTAGGAGAAAGGAGGGAGAGAGAGAGTGGACAGGACATTTTATCTGTAGGACAGAGAGGGAGGGAGGGGGAGAAATCTGGGCAGGATGAAAGGAATGAAGGGAAGCTTAGTTTCCCGAGGCTGGCAGGGAAGTTGGCACAAACCCACAGGCTGGGGAGAGAAGAAGGCGTCTTTCAAGGAATTAGTTGCGAGGTTCCAGAGACCCCATCTCTAGAATTTTCCCCCTCGGGGCCACGGGAGGATGGGTGGGCTTGAGATCCCTAGCAAACTTCTTTCCAGGCCCTGGGGCACCCTGCCTGCGCTCCGGCTGCCCACGTACCCAAGGCACACCTTTTCTCTCTTCCCCAGGCTGCGGGTGCCAGGATTTAGAAGCCCGTGCACCCGACGGACTTGAAGGATTTCCTGCGTAACTGGTGTCTGCGGTCTTTGCCCAGCTCCTAGATGTTTCTGCGAACCAGGTGCCTCCCCAGACCTCCACGCGCGCGCGGGGACACTGGGCGGCCCCTTGCCGGGAGGCTGCTCCGCGCAGGAGCCGGCGTCCCCAGCTGTGAACCGCGGGGGAGCTCGCGCACAGGGCCAACGGGCAGAGCTTCAGAGGCGCTGGTGGAGGCGGCGCGATGTCGGCGAACTCTCTCCTCAGCCTTTACATTTCCACTGAGATTTCGCCATTAAATAACAAGAATAAAACGTACGCTTGGTTTTGTCTTTGCGCTCGCGAGATCGTGGTGGGTCTTGTAGAGAAGAGGAGGGAAAAGTGAAGAGAAACACGGCGGCCCCACCGGCCGCTTCCGGGACCCCTGAATTCAGCAGCTGGCACTGCCAATTTGGAGAGCCCTCAGGCCTGGTCCTCGAAGACCTGGGCTTCAAGTCCCACCGCCCTGGGGGAGGTCCGGGCTCTCCCCCGCGGGGTCGGGGCCCTCAGCCGCTAGGGCTGCTGGCGGGGCTCCAGCCGCCGGGACCTGCCCAGCCCGGTGCGCCTTGCACTGGCTATGCGCGCAGACGTCCGGGCGCGCTCCGTCCGCCCCGCTGGGCAGGAGCGCGCGAGGCCGCGCGCGCCGTCGCCGGGCAGCCCAGAGGCGCCCGGCTCCCGGGAGAGGCGAGAGCCCGGCGGCCGGCGGCGGGCTGGCGTGCGTGGCGCCGCCTCACGCGGGTGCGCTACGCGGCGGAGCGCCGGCCTGGGACCCTGAGGGAGCGCGGCGGTGGGCGGCACGCGCCGCGCTCTCTCCCGGATCCCCGCGCCCGCGTCGGCGCCCACCCCGGCTGAGCAGCCTCCTCCGGCCGGGAGCCGCCCCCCGGCCCCCACCCCCGCGCGGCCCGACCCGGCGCGCGGGAGCGGCGGGAGGAGCAGGAGGCGGCGCCGCAGGGACTGCCTCCTCCCCGCCCCTCGCGTCTCCTCCCCGCGCCCCCGGGAAGGACAAGGGGACTAGGCGCGGGGACCCCGGCCAGTGAGCGCCCGTTCCCTGGGCCGCCCCTCGCGCGCGCGCTCCTGCCGCGAACCCGGGCCGGTCTCGCCTCGCGTGGTGCTGGCCGCAGCCATGAGCCAGGACGCGGAGCCCAGTGGCCCGGAGCAACCGGACAGAGATGCCCGCAGCGTGCCCGGTGCCCCGGCGCCGCCAGCGCCCCCAGGCCCGCGAGGGATGCAGCCGCCGCCGCCGCCGCCCCAGGCCGGCCTACCCCAGATCATCCAAAAGTAAGAGGGGGGACGGGGTGCGCCGAGGGGGCATGCCCCGGGCGCCCCCTTCTGAGCGTCATCTCTCCAGTCCCGGCTCAACTTCGCTCGGCCGCCGCGCGTTTGAAGTTTTCGTGCCCTTTTTCGGCGGAATCGGTGTCATTCTGGCTGTTCCTCAGGTTGGGGCCAGGGAAGCCGAGTTATTTGGGGAAAATGATGTTGCTTTTCCTTATCCCTCTTCCTTTCTCTTCAAGGGCGTTACTGAATTATTTTGAACTAAAATAGCTCAGATTGGGGAAAAGGGACCAGAGACTATCTGTCATCTTTCTGGTCCCGGGAGGCCGCAGGGATGTATGCAGAGCCGTGCGGGAGTGCGCGCGCGACGGTGACTGAGTGTCGCCACGGAGAAGCCGCCGCGCGTGGTGCCCCGAAGTCAGCCAGTGACGTCGGTGAGAAGGGTGGTGAGGGATTGCAGACATAGTTTGCTTTGCCCTGAAAGAAGTGTTCGGACTTTTCAAGAAGGCCCTCCTCGCGAAGAGTTCGCAGCAGCGCAACCGTTTTCAGTTAATGTCACCATCTGGTGAGCGGGTGAAGCGTGGGCTGGGGCCGCCACTCTTCCCCGCCTCCTCTCCCAGCGCATGAACAGGTTGGGGGTGCTCAACAGCCCTGAGAAGCTCCTCCAGCCCCTCTGGGGGTCGTAAGAGTAAAACGGTGATGTTCTTTCTGTCCATTCATACGACATTTTGACAGTTTAAGGCCTAGAATGTCGGTTTGTTTGAAAGATCTTTATTCTCCTAAAGGTTTCCCTGAGCTTGCAATGAAGTCCTCAAAAGTAGTTTAAGAAGTATAGGGAAGTCTGAATGAGGAGTGCTTGGGCAAAACTGACAAAACTAGAGAAATGCACGCAAGTACAGCGAAAACCAACCGTGTGGGACAGAGTGGAGGTTTCCCAGCGCTGCTGTACTGATGCTTTGAGTTAGGCAAACTTTTAAAAATGCAGTAAGAGAAATAACCAGTGATGGATGTACGTGGAAGTAAATGGCATTTAAATATTCTTTTTAAGACTGACTTATGTAACAAAGAATAGTGAAAATTCAAGTTGGACATTAAAGAACGCTAGTATATTTCAGAACAAAATGGTTCCCTTTTTTTGACTGGTAGAATACTAAAGCTTCATTTATGACAACTTCTTGCTTTGATTTGATTTTATATAACTTTCAACTACTCACAAGTTGCTATTACGTTTTGTATTGCTATTCTGTTCCTTTTGTTTTGCAAATTACTTCAGCTAAGATTGACTAAGTATGATTGACAGTTTAAGTACATCATTACTTAAAATTTCCCTTTAATCCTCAATATAAATGTAAGATAGCAGAGAAAAATATGTCTCAAACATAAACTTTATTTACTAAAAAGAACCCAAACAAACCCCAAAACAGATTGACTAATTATTAATTGGGGGACACCTAATGTGCTTCTTACTGGGCCAGTGTCTTATGACTGGACATTAAGCTGCACATTAAGTTAATTGAGTTTGCTTTGGTTTTGTAATCACCCTGCATTTTCCTATCATTTACTTTTAATTAGTAAAAAACTAGGAATTTTCTGTTCGCAGAAAAATCATCATAGATGAGTAGCTGGTTATGAAATGTTGCCAGTTTGAAAATAAATGCCATTTTGTGGGAAATGAACCATTCAAAGTGTATTTCAGTTACCAGATAAATATATAATTTACCCTGTAAATTCATTCCCATTTCTGTCTCTGGGATATTTTACTTTAATAGATAAGACCAAGCTTTTCAAACATGGCCCCTTCTGCGAGCAGTCGGGGATGGAGACCTTAAGCAGTATCTGATGGCTCTCCTTGTTTTGCATTGGTGACAGATTAGTGTTCAGGGGCCAGGTCCAAGGCCATTGCATATACCCATGGGATTTGGTGTTTGTGTGCTTATGTTTCAAAGTCTTTCTTTATAAGGATAATTTGGGGTTTGCACTTCCCTCAATACCCACTAAAATTCCGCTGGAACCAGGCATAACATGGCAAATGCTTTACAGGTCCATCTTTAATGCGCTGAAACTTGAGCAGGTTATTTTGAAACTACGTTTGCATAATTTAATCTGAGCCACCATTTCTGTGTAGTTATGAGGTGCTATTTGCATCAGTCATCTTTGAGAAAGAGTAGTGGGGAGATTGTTCTCAGTCTCAAAATTAGTTGTCCACCTCTTGCTTTGAGAATTTTGTGTGCCGGAGCTTTGGATGAAATTCTCCTCGAGTGGATTGCATAGTAAATACGTTTTACTGGGCAACCTATATTTTTTTCTAGTTATTTTAGTGTGGTTATTGTGTAAGTTGCAAGAGAAGTTTTGATGTCTTTTAAAATGATGAAGGTATCAGTCTTCTATGTTGCATAGTGTTTAAGGATTACAAGAATTTTTTCACTTAATGTCTGTGTTTACTGATTTTTACTAATAACAGCTTTCATTTTGGGCAAAGTCAATGACTTTGGTAAAACAATAGTCACGATCATAAAAACTGATTCCTATTCATGTATGTTATATTTGGTCTTAATAAGAGACCTGCTGTATACTACATTTAGGTAGCTAAACACGCGAGGTGTGATGATGAATAATGAGACTGGTTTTGGTGTTTGTTTTGTGGAAGCCAGTCCCGGTACTTAGGAAGATTGCATGGAAAGTTAATTTCTGTGGATTATTTTTGTTCTACTTAGGTACATTTAGTTTTCTTATGATTGCTTTCTCAGCTTCATTCAAGAATCGCCCATGACCTTTCTGCTCTTGTTAACTCCTGACTCCTGGCCAATATTGGCATTACCTATAAAGATTATCAGTCATGTTTAGACACATAGAAATAATATCTTGTAAATTCTTTGTTTTTAATGTATATTCTCAAAGTTGGCCAATGTGGAGATATTATTGGATAAAATGTATCACATTATGTAAGCCATTGGGCAACAAGAAATATAGGTTACACCTTAAGAGGAGATTTGGGATGCGTTTAGGAAATCAGAATAATTTGGGGACTTAAAATATATTCTCCATATTAGCAAAAGACAGACAGCATTGTTGTGTGTTGCTGAATGGTTTATAAGGATTTTTCTCTAACACTCACAATATTTTATTTCTAAAAGTACTTTATGTTTTAGTTTTGTGCTTTAACATCAAACATAATTCTTGATTTATAAGAGGTTTTTTTATTAACCTTGATAAACATTGGAAATAAAAATTTTAAGTTGTAAGTTTTAAAACTCTTTGGAATGAAAAAACAGCCACTCAATTCTGTGTGAAATGTTTAAATTAATTGTCAGATGTAACTACACAGTGTGCCTCTAATTACGGTGAAAATTAACCAAAGAAGCACACACGTCTTCTATGAGGTGAACACACAGGTGGTTTTCTTAAATTATCTGGTCTGCAGTGAAATATTCCTAATGCATGACATTGGGTTCATATTTAATTTGAATATAGATGACTTATTTTTTCATTTCCAGTTCAGTGTGATAAGCAGTGAATATTATAAAAATAGAAGAAGTTTTAGTATTTGATAAGTAGTGTCACCTTCATGTGTTTGTGACTTATAAAGATATAAATCCAGCTTTGATTTCTAAAGTTTATAGTCTTTGGCATAGTGTTAGGACACTGGCCGACTCTGTTTTCAGAGAAAAGTGTTCCCCTAATTCAGTAGAGAAAATGTTACAAGTAGTCACTCTGCAGATAATTTTATAGACATTCTGTATTTGGAGGGATCTCCTTGTAACTCTTAGGGGATGATATGCAGGCAAGCTGTGTGTGATGTCTATCCACTTTGACGGGCATGTCGACAGTTATATACAGAATCCGGGAGGGAATAATTTGCCAAAAAGGGACATTACCTCACACTCATACTTGGTCCTTTTCTGGAAAGAAGTTGGAATTTCTAACATCTGTGCCAGCTTCTAACATCGGTTTGAGTCCATTTTTAGGGGAGACACAGATATGTTCGTAGAAAGAATTTTGAAAGCTTTAAACACCATCTTAAACTGCACGTAAAACAAGCATTCATCAGGAGAAAACATCTGAGAGAATTGTTTACCCAAAACAGGGAAGGAGAGAGGGTGGGTTCTTTGAGAATACTGAAAAGTTTCTTGGCTTTTCTTGAAAGCCTCTTAAAAGTGTCTTTTTTTTTTTTAAAGGAATTTTTTCTTGAGGGTTTGTTGTGATAAGTAGTTTTAGATAGTAAGCATAGCCATTCAGTTACAAGTTTTTCTAAAGTTGCCAAAGAGATCAGTATGATGAAATGTTGTACATTATTATCATTAGTCATGGTAAATGACTATGCATATGGTGTACACAGAGCTGTTCTAATGCCAGGGATGTAGGGGGAAAAAAGAAGAAAAAATTATCACCTATTTTATTCTTCTATCCACTTATTCTTTGCTATCTTCTTAACAGTTTATCAAATTAATAATTTTAAATGCCCACATCTTCTAGTTGAAATGTGATCTCTGATCTGTTAAGATCTCCTTGCCTGTTTGCAAAGTTACCAGGGGGAAAAAACTCCCACCAGGACTGACTCAAAGTGAAATGATCCTCCATTATCCAGTTTCTCTCTCTCTGATTTGTTTTACTTGTGGCTGTAGATTTTTCAACTCCAGTTAAATTAATATTTCTTCCTTGCCCACAAGAGCTAATCTTCAAGTAAACAAACCAATTTAGCTCAATTCACAGCTTTGATAAACAAGAATCTACAAAACGTTAGAAACAGGGGTCTAATCAAGGGATAGAATTAAGACAGACTGAATTAAACATGGAGAGAAAAAATGGAAGAAGCCTGAGACAGTGGAGTTTAAACTCCACAGAGAAATTCAGAGGCAGGACTCTGCTCTCGTTGTGGCCACCCTGGTTCCCCTGCCAGACAAAAGCTTGAAGGGGTCTCTTGTGAGGCAAAGTCCCACTTAATCTGGTTTTTATTTCCTGGCACAGTAATTTTCTTGTTTAGAATGGTCATACTGATATGGTTTTGT